TCAATAAATGATTCTGGGAAAACTGGACATCCATATGTAGAAGAATGAAACTAGACCTGTACCTCTTGCCATATACTGAAACCAACTCAAAATGGATTAAAGACTTAAACATAAGACCTCCAACTATAAAACTTCTAAGAGAAAACATATGGGAAATACTTCAGGAAGTAGGACTCTGCAAAGACTATATGAATATGACTCCCATAGCACAGGCAGCTTTTGGAAAAATAAACAAATGGGATTATATCAAACTAAAAAGCTTCTGCACAGCAAAAGAAACAATTCACAGAGTCAGAAGACAACTTACAGAGTGGAAGAAAATATTTGCAAATTATGCTTCTGACTAAAGATTAATTCCAGAATACACAAGGAATTCTAACAACTTAACAGTAAAATAACAAATAACCCGATTAAAAAATGGGCAAAGGAGCTGAATAGGCACTTCTAAAAGGGAGAATACAAATGGCCAATAGACACATGAAAAAATGCTCAACATTATTCAGCATCAGGGAAATGCAAATCAAAGCCACACTGAGAAATCATCTCACCCCAGTAAGACTGACTAATATCAAAAAGACAGAATAACAAATGCTGGCAAGGATGTAGAGAAAGGGGAACCCTCCTACACTGTTTGTGGGACTGTAAACTGGTGCAGCCATTATGGAAAATGGTGTGGAGTTTCTTCAAACGACTGCAGATAGACCTGCCATAAAATCCAGCAATTCCACTGCTGGTATATACCCAAAGGAATGGAAATCATGTCGAAGGGATGCCTGCACTCCTATGTTTATCGCAGAGCTATTTACAATAGCAAGGAGTTAGAGCCATTGTCAGATGACTGGATAAGCAAAATGTGGTATATTTACCCAATGGAATTCTACTCTGCCATAAATAAGGATGAAATATTGCCATTTGCAGCAACATGGGTGAACTTAGAGAAAATTATGTTAAGTGAGGTAAGGCAGGCACAGAAAGAGAAATACTGCATGTCTTCACTTACAAGTGTGAGCTAGGAGGCAGAGAATCAACATAGTGGAATAGACGGTCCCCAGTGTCTCTCTCTCCCACAATCAACCAATTTACAACTATTAAAAAGCAAAGACTGCTAAGCTGGGGCTGCTAGAGCTCAGGGGGAGAGGAGGAGAGACCTATGGAGTTCATGAAGACAGGAGAAGCTGCAATGAGAGAAAGAAGGGTCTGCTCTGTTTCTAACCCCAGCCATTTCAAGGCTGGCCCTGGTGAGTACACAGAGTAATAGCTCAAAAAAGCTGCAGCTGTGCCCATTATGTGAAGTTGCTTGGAGACTGCAGGGGGAGAGGGCACTGGTGGCCCCCAGGCCAGCTGGACCACTGACAGGATTCTGGAGACCCACATACAAGTGAGGGGCCACAGACAACTGAAAAAAGGAGTCACTCAGAGTCTGGTGAGTCATCACAAGGGACCAGCACATGGCCCATCCCATAGGAAGTGTTTGGAGTGTCGGGGGTAGGGGAGACCCACCAGGGGAACATTGGGGCACAGCATGGACAGCTGATCTGCCCTCCAATCAGCACAGTCCTATTCAGTGGAGACTGGCCAGGAAAATAGAATTGCAGAGGGTGCAGTTTGCCGAAAAGACACAGGCCCAGAACAGAGTTCCCACACAACCCAGCCGTTCAGGACCTCCAAGACCTGGAAGTGCTTACAAGGTCAACAATTAAAACCTGAGCTGCGTAAAAAGGCTTCCCCAGAGAATCATCATCAAAGCAGCAATTTAGCTCAACCACAGGGCTAAAGTTCTGGTCCCCACAGGAAGTTCCTCCATGTTAGAATGTAAGCAAGAAAAACAAATTAGTTCCAATGCAGAGTTTAAGTGGTGGGGGTAGCTAATAATCCAACATAGAACTGAAAGAAAATACAAAAAAACATACATCAGAGACAAAGTTCTGATATTAACCAGTAGAGGTCTAACACCACTAAAGAACACCTATAAAACCTAGAAGAGCCAGAAGCCCCCTGGCCTCCTGAGCCAAGATGAAGGGGGCCCAAGGGCTTCAGCCATGACCCCTCAGATCCACATCCAGCCCAGTGATGACCGAGCCACTGCCAGAAGGCTCTGGGCTCATAAGCCAGGAATGGGGTCCTGAGGGCCTTAGCCACATCCTCCTGACTTCTGCATCCACCCTGGTGATTACTCCACCCCTGCTGGAAGCTCCCTGGGCTCCTGAGCCAGGGTGTGGGGAGCCAAGGGCCTCAGACATGCTCCCTGGAAGCCACCCAGGCTCCCGAGCCAGGTTTGGGGCAGCTGAGGACCTCAGCCATGCCCTCAGGTGTTTACATCCAGCCCAGTGACAACCAAGCCACCACCAGACACCCCCAGGCTCCTGAGACAAAGTGTTAGGGGTGCTGCAAACCTCATCCATAGTCCCCCGCCCTCTGCAACCAGCCAGCAAAGGAGCCAGCCATGAGCCAGCCCTGCCCCCCTACCCCTACCTCTGCCACCTCTCTCTTCCCCTCACCCCCCCACTGTTTCACAACAGCATCTTAGAATGTAAATAATAATAATAAATAAATAAATTTTAAAAATAGGAGGGAGCTAGAAAATAAATAAAAGAAAGAAGAAAAAAAAGAACAATTACAACAATACATTGAACTTTCAAAAGAAGAAAACAGGACTGAGGTTAACAGAGGTAGGAAGTGGGGAGAGGAAGGGGGTTAAGGGAGGAATCAGTAAAGGGCCACAAAAAATAATTACATTGTATAATGTTGAATATATTAATTATCCTGATTTGAGCACCATATATTGCATCTAGGTATTGATATTCAACTCTGTACCCCACAGATATGTACAATTACATTACAATAAAAAAAGAATTAAAAGGCACCCAAATTTTAAAGAAAGAAGTAAAACTATGCCTATTTATTGATGAAATGATTACAAATGGAAAATCCTAAGGAATCCATAGAAAAAAATTTAGAACTAATAAATGAGTTCACTAAGGTTGCACGTTAAAAGATTAATATACAACGATCAACTATATTTTATGTTTTAGGAATGAGCAACCTAAAAAAGAAATTTTAAAAAATGCTTATACAGTGACATAAGTAATAAAATATCTTGGAATAAATTCAACAAAAGAAGTGCAAGACTTATACACTGATAATTACAAAACATTGTTGAAAGGAATGAAAGACCTGAATAAATGGGAAGGCATCTTGCATTCATGGATTGGAATACTCAATAGTGTTAAGATGGCAGTACTCCCCCAATTTTTCTACAGATTCAACAAAGTCCAAGCTGCCTTTGTTGGACTTAAGATTTATATGAAAGCATAAGGGACCCCAGATAACCAAAACAATCTTGAAAAAGAACATACTTGGAGGACTCACACTTCCCAAACACAAACTTAACTACAAAGCCACAGTAAACAAGACAGTGTGGCACTAGTATAAGGATAGACATATAGTTAAATGAATACAATTGAGAGTCCAGAAATAAATCCTGTTTATAAAAAGATTGATATAGACCTTTCTTCACACTAGTATAAGGATAGACATGGCACTAGTATAAGGATAGACATATAGTTAAATGAATACAATTGAGAGTCCAGAAATAAATCCTGTTTATAAAAAGATTGATATAGACCTTTCTTCAAAGAAGATGTATGAATGGTTAATAAGCACATGAAAAGATGCTCAACGTCATTATTCATTAGGGAAATGCAAACAAAAACCATGATAGGCCACCTCACATCCACTAGAACAGCTAAAACAGAAACAAAACAACAACCACCAAACAGACAATAAAAAGTGTGGTGAGGATGTGGAGAAATTAGAGGCCTTGTACACTACCCGTGTTGTTGTAACATAGTGCAGCCGTTTTGGAGAACAGTTTGGCGTGTTCTCAAAAGTTTAAATCTTATAAATTGGCATTCTACATTTTGGAATATACCCCTGAGGGAAATATGAAATTTTGTCCACAAACACACAAAAAGAAAATTATCTCATATGAAAAGACTGAATTAAAAAAAGGAAATAAATGACTGTCCTAATTAAATGTATACACCTTTCAGATGTTAATAATCCAGAACATCTGCACTGATGATAGAGGTAAACATTTTTATCGATTATGAATTTAAAGTAACCTAAGACTGGGCATTAAAGGATACATTAAAATATGTATGTGTGTGTACATTAAACTATATGTCACTCTCTTGTTAATTAATCTGTGTAGGTACAGCCTGTATATACCCATAGAACAAAGAAGTGATGAATTTACAGGTGTATTTCACCGACCTGGAACCCAAAGTTGGATTTCCTATATTGGGTTTGGTGTTCTTCTCGTCTCAATATGAGGGATGAAAACAGAGAATTAACTAGTCTTTTTTCTATAGATACTCCCATATGGTACTGAATATGGGTGTGCACTAGGGTAATCTTTTCTGTAATTGTGGTTTGTTAGGGTTGGCCAGAATACTCTATTTCCTGGCATTTTCCAATATTATTCAAGCTCTGTCCTTCTAGATCACTTTTTTGTGGGGATTAAAAATCCAGAGGAGTAGGATATTTCACATTTCTGTAAAACTGTAAGGCCTTAAAACAGAACTGAAACTGCACGTTTAGGGGTGCATGCCCCTCTTTGGAGGTCATACGTCCTCAGGAGAATGAAAGGCTCCTTCTGATTTGTCAGCCAGCTCTGCTGACATCTTTCAGGGGTCCCTTTTATGTATGGCCATGCCTACAGAGGCTTCTGGTCCTTTGGGAATGGTGAGACTACCTGTCCTGGGCCCCCTCAGTCACATGTCTATCCACTGGGATGATGTAACATTCATCCTGGCAAGGTTAACGATTAAATTGTTGGGATGAAAGGTCAGGACGTTTGCTTTTAGTTAGAACATCAAACATCAGAACACCAGCATGGGGGATAACACATTGCTTCTCGCCTTCCACCTTCTCAGAGGGAAAGAATAAAGAAACAACATAGTCATAGAAGAGAGTCTTCCAGAAGTGCTCCTGTAATCATGCTGGAAAAGTTCTGCAACTCTACTTTCTGGGTGAGAAATTACATTTATCCTCACTGTCGATTCTTCTCAGACTCAGAACTAGTGGTAGATTAGCTTAGAGTAGCCATCAAAAAGAACCAGAAAAGCTGGATATGCAGTTGGTCTAAAGCTCAAGCTTTTTTAGAAAGGGTAATTTACAATATCCCCAGAGGATATGCTATCTGGGAAAGGTAATCTAACTTATTCTCTAACATATGTTTATTGTATCCCAAGCTCTTTTCTTGGACTAGCTAGCTTTGCCTAAAGAGAAATAGAGAAAAGACTTCCAATTTAATCAGTGTTGGGAAGGGGTATTGTTGTGGTTATTGCTGTTGTGTAGTTTGTTGAGTAGGAGGAAGGGAATGTACGATTGAGTCTTGTTGAGATATGTTGATGTTGAAATCATAGTGATACGTCCTAGAGGAACTGGCAGCTAGTGACATGCACTAGAAGTTGAGTCCAGGGATAAAGTTTGGGCATCATAAACACTGAGACAATTTCGAACCATTATAATTGGGCAGTACTGTTTATAGAGAAGAAGGAAAGGAAGAGGCACGGCTGAAGGAGGGGTCAGGTACTTACAGGGTGAACAACAAGAGTGTAACATCATGGAGTCATAGACAGAGAATCTCAAGACAGAGGGCAATCGACAGTGCCGAGTGGGTTAACTATAGTTAGTTAACTATCTTAGGTGATTTGATTCTTCTGAATTCTAAAGTTTGACAACTTTGTGTAGAGATGAGACGAGCAGGAATGAGATAGCAAAATATGTGGGCAGCACTTCAGATGTTAGAAAGATCCTGGGCCCCCAAGGCCTTCAAGGCCAGGACATGCATACCACAGGAAGGTGGGGCCTAATAGGCCCAAGTATCCTGCAAGTCATCTCTTGAGAATCTTCTCTGAGAATTACCCAACAAATCATCTTGTTCAGGGCACCTCAACCTTTTCTTTAAAGAGTCTGTGCAAATCGCCATTCAAAACAATTAAAAAATATTTATAGGAAGAGTAAAACCTACGTGCACGTGACTCAGATATAAGAACTGGTGCCCCGCTCCCACCCCTATCCCACAAGACGCCTCCATTTATTGCAGAACGCAAAGACTAGTACAAGGCTTGCTGGGAGCAAGCCTTCTGTCCAACAGTGCTGTTGTTGCTGCTGTGCAGAAACTGGCCAGGGGCTCTCAGCTCTGATAGAATCCCTCTGGGCCCTAGGAGGCTAAATGGTGAGACTGAGCATGCGGCCTGTCTTGTGCATGCATGTTTGAATGTCTGTCAGTGATTTCGATCATTGCTAGAAACTAGAAGAACAAGTTTTTATATCCCAGGGAACTAGTCTTCCCTTTGGACTGAGGAACAGTTCCTCTTCTTCCTATGACTTGGCAAATGCAGTGGTGAGGTTAACTCAGAACAGCTGGTACAGAAATTTACTTAATCACAGGAAGATAGGTTTTCAGAGGTTGGGTTGGCCAGAAACGTCAGTAAATGTCATGAAGTGGTGAATTTGTATCAATGCGAATGAACAGGAAAATACGGTTAAAGTTAAAGGACATGGATATGGAGTTGAGTTAAAACTGTTTGGAAGTGGTTGGGGTGTGCTGGGGGATGGTCTGCTGTCTTCAAAAATGCCTGTATCCAACAATTTTCCCTTTTGGTCCCCCAGAATTCGTCATTCCTGAATAGCCCAGAGGCAGACCTGCCCCTTTGTTTTGAGCAAACTGTTCTGGTGTGGATTCCCTTGGGCTTCCTTTGGCTCCTGGCCCCTTGGCAGCTTCTCCATGTGTATAGATTCAGAAGCAAGAGATCTTCTGTAAACAGACTCTACCTTGCTAAGCAGGTATGGTAGCATCACTGTTTTCAAATTCTCTTTCCTTGGTGCACAATAGAGACATTTTCTTGTTGATTAGTGTCCTCTTACCTGTCTTTAACCAGCTTTCCCAAGTGCTGCTGTGTCAGGTAGAAACAAGGTTTGGGTGTTCCTCTCTCCACCTGCCCTATGCCTCACTGGCATTTTGCTATGTTTCTTAGTCAAAGTAGATTTGATTTTTGCACACCAGTAATGACTCTTAATTTTTATGGATATTGAGCTCCCTAAACACAAAAGATAAGTAAACGATGTAATTGCTATTATCTTTTCAGTGTTTGAGAAGTGAACACTGAGCCACTTGTCTTTAAGGTGTTCTAAGAAGTCAGGAGACTAATTCATTTGGCACCTGCCTCGAGGTGAAAATGAACTATATAATGTATCTTCTGCATCTTTGAGACAATCTGACCATGACTCAGCTCTCAAAACTTGGATCTGAAGTTTTCCCAAAGTGTCCCATGAATCAGGATGATCACTCACAGTGTAGGGAGAAGTGAGTGTGCACACTGACAAGCTGAGTAGTAAATAATGGAAAGGACAGGGGCTGGGGAGAGAGCCCAGGAGGAGCAAAGGGAGGACCTCAGCCAGCTGCACTGACTCACTCAGGGAGGGCACTTGTGGGAACCCAAGACCCTCAGTTGAGGTTGTAAAGTAACCTCATAAAATCCACGTCTGCTTCCTTTCAGTTCGGTTTTTTCCTTCTGTCCTTATCTTTAAACAGGTATTTAGGAGGCAAATTAGATCTCATTGTTCTGTGAACATACATACCAACGACCTCAGGTTACCTCAGCCTGAAAGGGAGGAAAGGGCTTGGCCAAAGCCAGTGGGATTCACATTGACACTCTGAAGTGGGGGCTGGTAGTGGGTTTTGTCAGACTCTGCACAGGAAAAGAAGAATCTTTGAGAGCCCAGGGCAGGGTCACTGTCTCCCTTGTTGACCCGAGTGCCCAGCATAGGACCTAGCATGTAGTGAGCACTCAGTTTGAATTCAGGGTTTGTTGAATGTTGGTGTTAAAGGTACTCAAGGCATAGGGGTTGAATCAGGAATGTGGTAGACTCTGAATATTCTGAACACGAACAACATGCATCAGTATCCTTGGAAATGAGCTAGTCAATTTGAGAACATTTTCATTTCCTCCGAAAGAAACCCTGTTACTCCTCCTCATCCCACGTAACCCTAAGTGACCACTAACCTGCTTCCTGTCACTATAGATTTCCCTATTCTAGACATTTCATATGAATGGAATCATACAGTATGTGGTCCTTTATGACTGGCTTTGTTCACTTAGCATAATGTTTCAGGGTTCATCAATGCCGTAGCATGGATCAGTACTTCATTCCTTTTTATGGCAGAATATTATTTCATTGTATGGATGGATTGCACATTCTGTTACATTTTATAGACAGAAATCACTTTAGAGAAGAAAAAAAAACCCAAAAAAACGCAATGTATTAGCTTTCTTCCCCCTGTAGTTAATAATCTATCTACCTTTATTTACAATCTCAGGAGTTCCACTTAGAATTTATGTTTTACTTTTTTGTCCTCTATTCTGAGGGTGACAAGCACAAATTAGCTTCTTCCTAAAAATTTCAAAATAATTGGTTTCTTCTCTGAAATGGCAGGAAGTATAATTCCTCAGAGTAAAACTCCACTTCTCTGAGAACTTTCTTCTCGTCTCAATCCCCAACTTCATTTTGTTTCTCAGCCTCCTCTTCCCATGTCTTTGGGCTGTCTTTTTCTCTCTGACTCTCCTGAATTGTTATTGCTATTGTTGTTTGGTTATTCGTGCAGTGCTTACCTCATCTGAACTTTGTCAACTTACTTGTCCAAGCTGGTAAGTGACTCCACAGGTTTGTTTGTTTGTTTGCTTAAGGATACATCCTTAGTGAAGGACCCAGAACAGACTCAGTAATTTAATGAATTGAAATCTAAAATGACTGAATTAATGAATGAATCCCAGGGGAACAAAAGAGGAATTTTGTGTACTGGAGGCTGTAGAAATACCGAGATGAGAAGAAGATGGGCAGCAAAAACAAATTTGAGGTTGACCCAGTGGGACGTGGGTACATCCTCAAATATCCACAGAAGTATTACACAGAAAATTACCTAATCTGTTCTGAAAAGTTTCAGAGAGTAGGACTAAGGGGCTGGAGCTTGTTTCAGGAAATCAGATTTTAGTTCAGTAAACAGAAGAATTTTCTGATAAAAATAACTGTCCAATAATAGAATGGGCTGCTGGGGGATATAGTCCCTGAAAACACTGGAGATGAAGTTAGACATTCGTCTGCTAGGGACTGGTGGAAGTAGACACCCTCTATCATGGGT